GTATGCCAACAAAGGGCGATGTTCACAGTGTCAGTCACTGGATTGTCTGGTCCAGACTCGATTATTTGTAGACGACCGTCATAGAGCTGGGATATTGCTGGCCGCTGCGTTAAACAAACAACCTTGCTTGAGAGAAAACCGTACTGAACGTTCAAGAGCATTCTTTCGTGATGTTCAGTAAATCCTTACAATCAATAAATAATAGGTTTTCCCAACTAAACGATAGCGTTTTAGAACATCCCTGTTTTGCAGAAATGCAACCAGTTCGTTGCTGTGGATGTCAAAGCTGATGCTGGTGGGTAAAAAGGGGCACCTATAACAATGCTTATGCCCAACTTCCGGTCTCGTTGCTTTGTTTCTTTGAAGATGTGGGCCGTGAAGGTCCTGGTTAGAATATTGATCTTCAGTAACCCATGCTTGTCGTAAGAGGCGACTTACGGGACCGGGTGGTCAGGCTCGATGACTTGGTTGACACATGTCATCGGTTCCCAATTGCGGAGATCGGTGCTCATGCTGTTGATCACTGGATTGTCTGGTCCAGACTCAAATATTTCCAGACCGCCGCCATATAACTGGCATATTGCTGAGTGCGGCGTAAAATAAACTCACTCACTCACTTTTTCAAGATGTAGGTGTATTGGCCGACACACCTACCATTTTACCGGACTAGTACTAGACGTACTAGACAAATATAACAAAGTCACAAATGTTATATTTGGGATAACACTTTCTAAGTAAAGTAAATATTTTAGTACTTCTGTTGGGTTGAGTCCCATCCGGGATTCGAACCCACACACTTAGAGTCAGGCACCTAATCACCAGCACACAAAGTCAGCTTCCGCGGCATTTTGTATTCATACACAAATCTGAAGACACTGGTACAAAGTACGGACTAAAGTAAATAAAGGACAACAAAACCTCACACAAATTCGTTATTTTGACAGGTTACTAGTCGCTTTCATGGTAATTTCTATTGAATCAACGTTCGCGTTCTTAGGGTTGATCGATAGACAACCCGGGCACCCATACAAACGTTTCGCCAGTACTCTTGCATATATTTCCGCTTACAGGATCTTGAAACCTTTTTCTTTTCTTGTTGTTTACTTAAATAACAATCTACATCGTCGTCAAATTCCAAATTAAGCACTTGACTTACAACATCTTCGCAGCATTCAGAGTGCATCCTGCAAAACAGTGAATAAGAAGTATGTAGTGCGCATGTCCAGAGTCAATGTGCTTTGAAAGAGCCCATCAAAACATTTGTTTGGTCCTTCGAGTGCTCTCATACTTTTGATAACTTGCCGGCACATACTTTTGTACGTGCTTGCTGCGGTTGGGTAGCAGCGAATGAAAACGTTTTGAGAATATTAGCATATGGGTGCAAATGAATGAAGAAGAAAGAAACTCAAAATGTCTAATTTGGATGCGAAACAAAAGTGTTTGCTAAATGTTATCTCGACCGTAGTGGGTATTAGACAGATATATGGACTCTTTCTTCGGCACCTCGGTGGGTGTATCTCTTACAACATCGTCACTAAACACTTCGGCCTCTAATTTAACCTTCCCCTAACACTGAGTTTGGTTTTACGACGCTTTTAGCAATATTCCAGCAATATCACGGCGGGTGACATCAGAAATGGGTTTCACGCATTTTACCTGGAGTCGAGCCCTTGTCCGGCGTGAGGATCGAACACTTTAACCACTAGGCTACCCGATCGCCCCTTGTCACTAACACACACACACAATAGTCATGTTCCCATCTTTTGAAAATAGTCACTTGGCTTAGGAACACAACACGTGGTTTTTTCCTTGTTTGATGTTTAACGCCACACTCAGCAATATTCCAACTGTAAATGATTGAGTCTGGACCAGACAGTCCACTGGTCAACATCATGAGCATCGGTCTAGGCAATTGCGATTAACATGTGTCTACAAAGTCAGCGAGATCTGACCACCCGATCCCGCCAGTCGCCTCTTACGACACACATGTGCCTGCATATTCATATGTTTGAAAGGACCGAGCCCTAGAAACCCTTAGACGCATAGCTGTCGAACACGGTTACCCATCCAACCTCACCAACCCCACAGGATCGTCACCACTATCCAGCATCTTATCTAGCGTCTTTGTTGGGAGCATAGCTCGGCGGTCCATTCTTCTAAGGAGCCAAAATGCTCCATGCAGAGTTATTTCCCGTGACCGCGCCAGGATCTGCAGGCGTGTTTCGAATCCCACAGTCTTCGCTATGCACCAGCATCATGTAGGCAACCTGCATCATGTAGGCATTTCCTCTTACAGGGGCGGTGGGGTAGCCTAGTGGTTTAAGCGTTGGCTCGTTACACCGAAGATCCGCGTTCCATTTCCCACATGGGTGCAATGTGTGAAGCCCATTTCTGGTGTCCCCCGCCGTGATATTGCTGGAATATTGCTAAAAGTGGCGTAAAACCATACTCACTCATTCACTCTTATATGTACACTAAACGCCAAAACTACGTTACCCTCCTACCTTTGTGAATTACTTAAAAACTATCAAAGATATGTTAGAAGGTATTAGTTTACAAGAAAACTTAACAACACAGCTTTATGCAAATCACCAAAACGAATTCTCACATTCATATTTAGGTGAAATGCACCTTTTTCAGAAGAGTTGAATTGTCTTATATTCGACCATGCCGAAATAAACCAATAACAGTGATTTAAATGTCCAAAAGAAAGGTTCAAATAAAATTCTGCTTTGAGACAAAGATAAACCATTTTTAGTCACCATTTTTCAACTATTAAAACAAGAAACAACTGTTGTAGAGTGTGTAAAATTGTAAAATTATCATTCTTTTAAAATATTTTCTGCTGATTTGCATTAGTGAAAACAAGTAAAACGTGTCTTTGATATTGTGAAAAAGTGTTTAGGAACACCTAAAATTATCTTTGTTAACATTTTTGCTTGCAAGGTAACATTTTTCCATTTTCTGTTTACATATAGCAATATCAATCGCCAAAACGTAGCAATATTCAAGCAGTATTTGGATCCATTTCACGTGTAGAATAATTCTATAGGGTATAAAGAGAGACTAGAATGCATGATATGATACACAAGTACGAGAATTATGCCACGATTAACAGCTGAAGAGAGAGAGAGAGAGACATTGGGATGGTGCACATAGGGTCGACGTACAATGCTGTTGCCAACGCCCTCGTATGCCATAGTATCACGGTTATAAGACTTATGCAGCTACAGAAAGACTGGGGTCACCGTAGACAGACCAAGAAGTGGACGTCCACGCATCACAACGCCAGCTAAAGATAGGTTCCTCCGTCATTAAGAAAGGAGGGTAACGTTTCTTTTGGCGTTTAGTGTATATAACAGGACTGAGATACTGTTCAGACGAGGCGAAATAGAACTCACAGTCACGTCACAGAACTCATTGCACTGAAATAACCTAAATGATTAAATGTGTTGTAATATACAAATTGATGGTACATGTAAGCTGTTTACTCACGGTTACATAATACCCTCATCTGTACATACCTATAATGTAGGCTTTGTCGCGTGGTGGGTAGAGCGCCTGCCCACAGACCGGAAGGTCGGTCGTTTGATCTGAAGTCACGTTCTACCAAAGGACGTTAAAAGATGGTACTAGTTAGAACACTGACCGACGTTAACGGGATAAAACCAGTACTGGTGGACCGGACAGGGTGAGGCGAGGTAAAATGGGGTTAACGTCGAACTTAAGAATATTTCGCTCATATGACGACGTATGGCTGCTTGTACTGGCCCAGACAAGTTCTGTGTTGCTGTGATGTATCCATATATCTTCCCGAGGTGAGGTGAGGTGAGGTGAAATTGGGTTTAACGTCGTGCTTGAGAATATTTCGACGACGTGCATGCGAGTGTATGACACATATGTGTATGTGCGGCTGCTTGTACTAGCCCAGACTTAAGCTGGTTTTTATAGTGCTAGCTCACTGATATACCATGCCGCAGTGAAGCATGAATACTCCACTCAGACACATTATACTGACTCCGAGCCGACCAGTCCTTGTTGTACCCATTAATGCCGAGCGCCAGGCAGGGACCAAGTACCATATTTTAACGTCTTTTGGTATGACGCGGCCGGAGATCGAACCCCGACCTTCCGCTCCCCGGTCAGACGCTCTAACCACTACACCATGGAGGCGGTTCGACCGGTCAGGGTGTGAGTAGGGCATCTGCGTTAAACTGGGCCATGGTATCTCAATGTGTTAACTCTTAAAAACAGACGTTGGTCTGGTCCAGTACAGATGTCTGATTTCCAGCGCAGTTCTGGGGCGGTGGGGTAGCCAAGTGGTTAAAGCGTTCGCTAGTCTCGCCGAAGAGTCGGGTTCAATTCCCCCCATGTGTGAAGCCCATTTCTGGTGTCCCCCGTCGTGATATTGCTAAGATACTGCTAAAAGCGGCGTAAAACTAAACTCACTCACTCACTTCAGCGCAGTTCTACATTTAAAACCTGTATACCCCCTCCTCTTTAATCACATACATCCAAATACGGACATGTATATAATTGCTTTAGAATATATAATAAGGACCAAAACCACAATCGGTAACTGTTTCGAGATCCGCCACCATGGTTTTCAACCCGTTTTCGTTTTGTAATCTATTACAATACGTCATCGATAGGTTGTAATGTGTAACGTGTAGTAAGATATACAATTGGCAGCTGTTACATCAGCAACTGCCGCGACGACACGGACCGTGGAGGCGTGGTCATATTTGACAGGCGTCCACGAAACCTGATCATATATCGGCTGTGATAAGCCACACTCAGACCTGTGCAGAACAATTATGAAACAGATTATAGGTCGGAAGTGGGCCTATTTAAACCAACGTGCATTGTCTGATAGGTATAGTGGGGTGAGTCGGAGATCACATCACTCAGGTAGGTAGTCGACGATGTTGCTGTAGCTGTGGTGGTCATCACTGGTCACGGGTCTATATTTGACGAGGTGCTGTCTGTGACAAACAGGCAGGACCTTCCATCGATGAAGTCACATATACCCGTTATAGATATGCGTTCTCCGTGGATGAGGCATTTAACCGGTTTTATGTCGTCATAATTAACCTCTTATCTTCAAAGATAGCTGTACGTTTGTAGTAAGTGTGCATTTTGTCCAATTTAGTTTTATTTCACGTAGAAATGCAAAACGGTACCGGATAGTCGGGAATATTTTAGCAAATTTAAATAAATATAAATGTATCCAGTTATTGTCAATTTTCTGCAACACCATTTATCGAAAACGCGTTTCATTTTCGTTTTATTTCACGTAGAAATCTGTTTTCGATACGACCCGGAGAGACTGATTTACTGTTGTAGGGTATTATTTTTTCAACATAAAACATTGCAAGGGACGTATACGGGGATTGTCTTGCACTTATTAAAGGTTTTACCTTTGGTTCGGAGTCGAGGAATATGATTTTGGACTAACAGTAAACGTCAGAAATCTATCACGATGAGGGGCTGCGTCAGTTACCGGTTTGAACCGGGTAGCATTGTCTTATCGTCTTTCTGAACTTTGTCACCTACCTGTTTTTCCGCTACAGCAAGAATGCCTCGAAATGACACGATTATCAGTATACTTTGTGTTATGACGTCATATCAACGTTATAAAAAGTACTTTTCTTTCTAAAATTAACGTTTTCGACACAGTGTACTCAGAAACCCAAAATGATTCGGTAAAAGACAATGTTTTTATCAGATATGAGATGGCCAAAAACGCGACCATCTGTGTTATATGGGACAAAAAACTCGTAATGTTCATTCGGAAAATATCCAATGATTCGGCAAAAGACGATGTTTTTATCGGATAACAGATGGCCAAAAACGAGATCATTTGTGTTATATGGGACCAAAAACTCGGTATGCTCTTTCGGAAAAAATCGTGTATTCCCCGCGGGTGTTTATGCATTCGGAACACATTTAGAGAACGGCAAACAATGTCTCGGATATTTTCTGAGGTTATTTTTTAATTCCCATTTGAAGACACTTGGGCTTCAAACATCTTAACGGGATCAATAGCCACACATATACCGAGTATAGTTGAGAAACCGAGTTCGGAATCAATATGATTTCACATCCATATATACACTGAGGCTGGCCGGCAGAGACATTGGGGGGGGGCAGTGGGGTAGCCTAATGGTTAAAGCGTCCGCTCGTCATGTCGAGGACCCGGGTTCGAATCCCCACATGGGCACAATGTGTGAAGCCCATTTCTGGTGTCCCCCGCCGTGATGTTGCTGGAATATTGCTAACAGCGGCTTAAAGCCAAACTCAGTCAGTCAGTCAGTCAGTTAAAGCGTACGCTCGTCATGTCGAGGACCCGGGTTCGAATCCCCACATGGGTACAACGTGTGAAGCCCATTTCTGGTGTCCCCCGCCGTGATGTTGCTGGGATATTGCTAAAGCGGCGTAAAACCATATTCACGCGCTCAGAGAAAGTGGAAAATTGCTATTTTTTATAACGACCATGTCGACTTTTGATAATTCCTGTACTTAAAAACTACCAATCTTCATTTATCATGATATGATAGCTATATGCGCCCCCGTTTCCGCCACTAGAATTGTACTGTGACTCTCTTGCCATTCGGTGTGCAATAACACGTATCCTCATCCGAATGCGTAGGTTCATACGTTTATATTGAATAATATGTTTTGCCTTTTGATGAGTGTGTCGTGGTATTAAAAAAACCGACGAGTTGTGTCTACCACGTTTGCTCCTCCGGAAATTATGTGTCGAAAAATATGCATCATGTTTGTAAGCAAACAAATCTCGAATTAAATTCAAATTTAGATTCAAATGCCTCTATTCAGTAGAACCTAACTTTCTGCGATTGTGTCTGTTCCACTCCACTCCACTCCGCACCGCACCGCTCTACTCCACTCCACTCCACTCCACTGCACTCCACTCGCTGAAAAAATCGCATACGCTTTCCATGTTCAACATCTTCTATCTACTATCCGCTGTCAAAAAAGTGACTGAGAGCTCGTTGCTATCTTGTTACACTGAGGAGCTGAAAAGTCTCTTCCATGGATCTGAAAAATACCCTTCCCCCATCCAGATCGACTGCAGCCCTGCATCATTAAATGTAGACAGACAGTTTATTTAAGTCTCACCAAGCGTACACAATATATACACATGATATGAGTTTAACAAGAGTAAAGGTACCTAGCCATTCTTTATAGAATTATGAGAGACTGATTTGAGAAAATATAAAATACAAACTGAAAAATATTAGTAAATGGATATAAAAACTTCTTTGCGATAAAATTAGGTAGATGTTTTAGGTAATATAATTCATAACATGTTCATTGCGTGTAAGTGTATGATTGGCACTGTATCGTTTATGTAAAGGATTAACCTATTGCTAATGTTGACTTACCAACGCCCACCAATCAGGTGATTGTTAGTCATTCACTTGAAACGTTTTTAGCCTCATTTCGTGTTTCTTGTTTAATAATTCTATGACGTGTTAGATTTAAATTTTGTGTTGTACAAAACATTTACAAAAAAATCCCAAAGCTTACCCGAAGTAATATACGAGTACATTATTTCAGAAAAATGAAGCTGTGTGACTCACGATAGCACTGTCTGATTGACACGTGGAGACAGGTTAATTGAAACTTGACCCTGAAGAACTTTGACTGGCGTTGCCGGTAATCTAATCTGCTGTAGTAGTATCTATGTTTTACTCTAATTACTGTAATGTTCCTATGTGTTACGTTAAAGTTAGCGGCTAGACTAATCACTAGTAATTTCTACTTTCCTGCAAACCCCGATGGGGCAGACTAGTGCTTAGATCCGGGTTCGATCCCCACATGGGTGTGTAATGTGTAAAGCCCATGTCTGGTGTCCCCCGCCGTGATATTGCTGGAGTATTGCCAAAAGCGGCGTACAACTAAACTCAATCCTTTCCGGCAACTCGACAAGCAACTCGAGGGGGTTATTATCTAGTGACAGGGGTGGACATTCCATGCGGACAACTGTCTCCTGCTCACAGAGATATCAACGACCCTGTCACGAAGATGTCGTACGTTATCGTCTATGACGATGAAGTCTAATCCGATAGCACCAGCATATGATCATGTTCGGCAAAGTTAAGCATCATGAGTTTGATTTTCTACGTCTAAGCCACGACGAAGCTTAGACAGTATCTCGATTATCAGTGGAAAATACTGGAGCAGAGTTCTCGTCTGCTCAATTGGCCTGATCTTCAGCCCAATTATAGCATGCCTGCCATTGATGTCGTGTCAGTGGAATGCGTACCCCAGTGAGTTTAGTTTTACGCCACACTCAGCAATATTCCAGCTACTATGGCGGCCGAAACCGGAGACATGGAGACGATTACGCACTGTTTGAGTTGACGCCACTGTCGTTCAATTTCTTAGTGAGTCATGAAGTGCTAAAGTCGTGCTGCAGTCAGGAGAAACTTCTCTTCATGCAGTGTGGTTGAACGCTGTCGACCACCTGCATGTAGCCTGAGTAGGCGATCCAATGCCTGCAATGAAGTTGTGTTGACCACGTTTCAAGCAATCTTTGATCTGCCTCATTAATAGTCGTCAAACGTCGACTAACCCTTACCCCAACCACTGTTTACCGGCACATTTAAATATGTACTTGTTGGACGACGTTTATTTCATCGTAAGTTGATCCTTATAGTAATATGGTTGTGTTTTTCATCGAACTTTGCAGGGTTTCCACAACTGTTTTCGGCCTAGTAACATTTTCATAGCGTTTTTAATTTTTTTATTAAATTATGAAATTTTAAAGTGTACTTTCTTTTGCCCGGCGGTTTGAATAAATATAAATCTATACCAAATACAGTAGTAATTTTTCCATGAAGTTAAAACAGGACTTTGGTACCATAACGGAATAATGCAATGAAAAACTCATATTCAAAGTCTTGAGGAATTGGGCTTGTCCATAAAGACATTGAAGCGATTGAGTGTTCAAGTTGTGAACTTCTGTAAATATGAAACGTTAATGCCATAGAGATTCCATTGGGGCAGAATTAAGGTTAAGTATTCACTGCCCTATCTGACCCCACACAGCAGCCCTGCATACTCACATCGCGACGGCCTGTGCACACACTACGCTATGGGGTGATTGACCAGAAACTCACATTGCACGATAAAGCATTTACATAGTTACTTGGTGAATAATGGGCGGTGGGGTAGCTAGTGGTTAAAGCGTTCGCTCGTCACGCCGAGGACCCGGGTTCGATTCCCCACATGGGTACAATGTGTGCTGCCCATTTCTGGTGTCCCCCGCCGTGATGTTGCTGGAATATTGCTAAAAGGGGCAACTCACTCACTCACTCACTCACCTTGTGAATAAACTGACGTACAAAAGAAGGTACACACGTGGTGCTTGGGGTTATCAAAAAAACGTAAATATTTTGAAAAACATTGTGATTGTGACAAGTCACAGACATAGTGCACTTGTGTGTTTTCTTGTTTGTGTCAGTTCAATATTCATGTGTGTAGATCAGGCACCTTGAGCAGTATAATTCAACACCATTCAATGTACACCGACTCAAACAGGGTAGTGACGCTGTCCTAGCGAATACAGATATACAAATATAGTATTATCTGCCCGGATACATAATCTGTCAACAGAAAAGTGCAACTGGCTGAGGTAGTGAGTGAATATAGTTTTACAATATCACTATTCCAGCAATATCAGGGTAGTGTAAACAAGAAATAGGCTTCAAACATGGGATCGAGCAAACGTAAGATTAGTTTTAAGCCGCTTGTAGCAATATTCCAGCAATATCACAGCGGGGGGCACCAGAAATGGGCTTCACACATTGTATCCATGTGAGGAATCTAACCCGGGTCTTCGGCGTGACGAGCGAACGCTTTAACCACTAGGCTACCCCACCACACTCACCACACACACACACACACACACACACACACCACCCCTATTAACTCCGGTTTACCCCCATCAGCCCTGTAATTGGCAAGTACAAGGTATCTTTCCTGTGTGGCACTGACCTTCACCTTTGTTCATTGATGGGCAACAGAGTTCATAAAAGGCGAGAGAGTACAATATTCAAGTCGTGGGATAAGTCCGTTCCTATTCTGACCCCATTTCGGGACTCACCATGTCTTCATCTATTGAGATGTCCCCTACAGAGGTATATGATTATTTGTACAACCGTTATGTAGGCCAGCAGTATTATATAGAACGTGACTTGATAGGAAACGACCTGTAGTAACGAAAGAGGCCATGTTGATAGGTGAGTAAACAGTTATAAATGTGGAAAGAGGTACGTGTGTGCATGTGCGTGCGTGTGTGTTTGTTTGTATGTGTGTGTCGGTGAGAGCATTTGTGCAGTTTTGTTGTTGGTTAATAACAGAATAGGTAATCGATACACCAGCGTTGACAAGTGACATGACTGGCAGACATAGTGTCTGGATTTCGGTTCAGTGGCCCAATTACGTCCTTTACTTACGCCAGGATTCGCTAATCGTGGATTCCCAGATTTGCTCTATACATGACCCTTGGTTTACCACTCTGTCCAAGTCAGTGATTTCACTAATGAGATCGGGGCGTGGGGTAGCGAAGTGGTTAAAGCATTCGTTCGACTCGTTGAAGACCTGGGTTGGGTTTCCCACATGGGTACAATGTGTTCCCCTCCGTGGTATTGCTGTCTAACACCGACATCCAGTAAAACAGATCACCATACATTGTCATGTTTTGTTTCAGACAACATGGCGGTCCTGAAATGTCTGACGTCACTTCCTGCTCTAATCCTACTGGTGCTCACAATGACAGCAGCGTTTGACATCAACGACCCGAAGACAAACATAGACAGCCTTGTCCGAGTAATAGGATCCTCTAACTCGGAGGACGTGGGCGTACTTTACGGTAACGGAACAGTTTATGGCCGCCAACCTTCGCAAAAGCTGAAAAAACTCTTCTATTTTGAAGGGTTCAACGTCGGCCGGAAGGTCTACACCGGAAATGGCTACCTCTCGCTCACGCGAGAAGTCTTCGTATACCGAGACATCATAACAGGGGAGATAATCTACATCTGGCACAACGTATATTCGCAGCAGAGCAACGAGATTTTCCACGTCCATAACGACCCTGTTGACATGAACTTCACATACGGAGTTGAGGTAGTCCCAACGGTTCGATTCCCAGAACAGGAGTTTGGGTTTACTAGCGACATTCTCTTGCAATACCCGAACCTACTGGATCCGGTTCATTATAAAGAATTCTCGGCAGGTCCCCTCTATCAAGCGGATGAACTGTTCCAGTACTTCTCCGACTACGACGTGTTGACGACAACCAACATCTCCTCCCTCAACATGACGGGGGCGTGGTTTCGGCGTGCCCAGTACCTCCCCTGGATGCAAATGGGGGACACCCCGGGTCATCTGTATTACCAGACAAGCAACTGGAAGTGCCTCAATGGCCTCAAAGATCTATCCGAAGACCTTTACCAGTTCGTCGAGTCCAATTTCCCCGAGTTCTTTGAACCCCCAAATGAATTTGATCCAATTCCGGAGACAACATGGCAAGTTATCAAAGACGTCATAGACAGCAGGAGAAAACAAGGCCTGCCAGACATAATTTTACCAACCGTCAATATTACAAAACGCGTGACCCCAAAGGCCAACAGCCTTGACCCAAGAGTCAAACCCCTGTTCACGAAAGACTGTACCAACGTATTCTTCAACGGGAGTATCTATAGCGAAATTACAGGTAGACAGTCCATTGAACTCATGAAACTCACAGGAACGTTCAGAGCATCCGCGTTCAACTCTGTACTCCCAGACATATTCCTGAATGTCAAAGTATCGGGGGTCTTCCGTGATCCCATAACGCTGAAGGAACTGCAATATTTCCACAACCCTTTTACCAATGCCACTGTCAGCGTACCAAAGTTTACAGGGGAGAGAGAAGGAATTTTTAAGAAAGACGATGTCTTCTCGATATCTGTTCCTCATCTGGAGAAAGTGTCAGTACAGGCTAAGACATCGCACACGACACATCTTCCGGACAACGGTAGTGAAATCTGGTCGGTAGACATGCTAACGCTGTTCTTCAAAGAGTGCGACCTCGACAAACAGAACCCCTACTTTTACGGGACATGGGCCCGCTTTACCAGCTGGTTAGACTGGATGGGCATGGATGGTATTGACGGGAACCTGGTATGGCGAATGAGCATCAACAGAGTGACACCTCAGCCGGGTGACCCAACTTGCCAACAATGAAGCCCTGTATATACATCAGCGTAGCCGTTTCTGTGATTTAATGTGATCTAATGTCACGTTGACCCAACTTTTAAGACATTCCGAGATGGTCTTGAGTGCACATGACAGAGACTCGCACAACTCATCATATTTACGGACGGAAATGTACCAGGTCCCGATCCACAAACCGTTCGTAACGTTACGACCTGTCCTAACTCTATAGTTTAGCATAGGTTTACGAATTGTGTGGCTCGGAACCCAGGTCTTGCAAGGTCAACATAATATTATATATTCATTGAATAGCTGTATCGGTTTTTTAAAATAATTTTTAATTATATTGTAAAAGTATTTCGAAACATCTTGTTATTCGATGTATTTTTTTATTCCAACAGTGACCTTACAGTTGATGAAACTACTCAAACCAGGCTAAGGACCGAACTATTATTTCACATTTCTGTCATGGCATGAAGGAATGATCCTTTACATCTTTTGAATTACCATGTCAAATAATATGTTTTCGATATTGCGTCACAATATATCCAATTCTGCTCTACCGGTGACATATAAATGTATTTCTTTTATCATTGTAGCTCATAATATCGACCCTCCGCTTTTCCGGAACTATGTTTATCTCGATGTGTTTTCGGTGTATCAAATAAGTGTGATGTTGTTTATGGTTGAATTGTTGATAACGCATAATGTTCGTATTAAAATCGTTCGTTTCAGCATCTTGCTTTCATGTTCATGTGTCTAAAAATAGTCCAGAGTAATTATGGCATTGGCGGTAGTGAGTGAGTGAGTATGATTTTACGCAGCATTTCGCAATATTCAAGCAATATCACGGTGGGGGACACTAGAAATGGGCTTCACACATTGTACCCATGTGAGGAATCGAACCCGGGTTTTCGGCGTGACGAGCGGACGCTTTAACCATTAAGCTACCCCACCGCCCCTAACGTTGGAAGTAGTAAATTACAATTACAATTAAATGTACAAAAGAAAGTACACCTCTGGTGTTTGGGGATTATTTTCCAATAAACAAAGTAAGCATTTTGGAAGGTGTTTTGATTGTGATTACAAGTCAAAGACATTGCGTACATATTTTTAAAAACACCATATATGACCTTTACGGTTCTCAGAATGGAATATCTTGAAAATCGTGATTTTGTTGAATCGCACGTGCATGTTATGCGCTAACAGTATGAAACATAGTCGATTTTAGTTGCAAGAACGTTTGACTGTACAATCTGTTTAATGAAACGCGTCAACCAGGCTGTCAAGACATCTGACAGTTCCAGAACTGGAAGAGTGAGTGAGTTTTGTTTTACGCCGCCTTTAGCAATATTCCAGCAATATCACGGCGGGGGAACCAGAAATGCCCAGAAATGGAAGAACGAGAGTGACTGCCCCGCAAGAAGACCATCACCTTCGTATTGTCGTTCTGCGCAACCGGATGCTCGCAGAGACGTCATCAGCAGAAGCTACATGATGAGACGACGGCGTGTTGTGGGTATCCGGGCTTATCGACCCGGGCCCCGTTTCTAAATGCGATCGCAGGTGATCGTAATTCCCATACTTTAACATGGGTAAGGTGAGGTGAAATTGGGTTTAACGTCGTGCTTGAGAATATTTCGCTCATATGACGACGTGCATGCGTGTGTATGTGTATGTGCGGCTGTTTGTACTAGCCCAGATTTAAGCTGGTTTTATAGTGCTAGCCCACTGAAGATACCATAGCGCAGTGAAGCAAGAATACCCCACTCAGACACATTATACTGACTCCGAGCCGACCAGTCCTTGGTGTACCAATTAATGCCGAGCGCCAGGCGGGGACCAACAAGTACCATATTTTAAAGTCTTTTGGTATGACGCGGTCGGGGATCGAACCCGCGACCTTCCGCTCTCTGGGCGGACACTCTAACCACTACATCACTTTTACTTTAACATGGGCCTACGACAGTCGTAGCGCTGCGATCGCTTCGGGACATGTTATTAACCCGTCAACATCGACTGAAACGCTGAGGTGCTGGCAACGTTGCATTTTGGTACGACATCTGTCGTGTATTGGCAACATGCACACGATGTTTTACTGTTCGCCACTTGTAAGTCACAAATAAGACACTTTCCATATTATTTACGTACGTTGTTTTTGAAATATTATCCCAAAGCAACAGATTTGTATATAACATCTCAAAAAGCACGTGCATACATAACATTACCACAACCACATGCACAGAAAGAATCACCACAACCACATCCCCGCATGACATCCCCACATCCGCATACACACATGCCATCCCCACATCTACATACACACATGACATCCCCACAACGACATACACACGTGACATCCCCACAACCACATACACACATGACATCCCCACAACCACATACACACATGACATCCCCACAACCACATACACACATGACATCCCCACAACCACATACACACATGACATCCCCACAACCACATACACACATGACATCCCCACAACCACATACACAAATGACATCCCCACAACCACATACACACATGACATCCCCACAACCACATACACACATGACATCCCCACAACCACATACACACATGACATCCCCACGACCACATACACAAATGACATCCCCACGACCACATACACAAATGACATCCCCACAACCACATACATACATGCCATCCCTACAACCACATACACAAATGACATCCCCACATCCACATACACACATGCGGGGCGGTGGGGTAGCCTAGTGGTTAAAGCGTCCGCTCGTCACGCCGAAGACCCGGGTTCGAATCCCCACATGGGTACAATGTGTGAAGCCCATTTCTGGTGTCCCCGGCCGTGATGTTGCTGGAATATTGCTAAAAGCGGCGTAAAACTAAACTCAGTCAGTCAGTCAGTCAGACATACACACATACCATCCCCACATCCACATACACACGTGACATCCCTACAACCACATACACACATGACATCCCCACAACCACATACACACATGACATCCCCACAACCACATACACACATCACATCCCCACAACCACATACACACATGACATCCCCACAACCACATACACACATGACATCCCCACAACCACATACACAAATGACATCCCCACAACCACATACACACATGACATCCCCACAACCACATACACAAATGACATCCCCACAACCACATACACACGTGACATCCCCACAACCACATACACACATGACATCCCTACAACCACACACACACGTGACATCCCTACAATCACATACCAAATACACACATGACATCCCCACAACCCATACATGACATCCCCACAACCACACATGACATGACATCCCTACAACCACATACACACATGACATCCCTACAACCACATACACATGACATCCCCACAACCACATACACACGCGACATCCCTACACACACGTGACATCCCCTACAACCACATATCCCTACAACCACACACACATGACATCCCCACATGACATCCCCACAACCACATACACACATACCATCCCCACAACCTCTTACACACATAACATATTTAAAGTGGATGAATCACATTAGTTGAATATTTTCAGCCCCTTCTCGTTATGGCATCGAAACTATCTTGGCACCGGAAACAGACCTCTGGTTTGTCTTTCAATCAGTATTGTATTACTATTTTATTACCAGTCGTAATGACCCGTGAAGATTCGGGTTAGAATTGATCTTCAGCAACCCATACTTGTCATAAGAGGCGACTAACGGGATCGGGTGGTCAGGCTCGCTGACTTGGTTGACACGTCATCGTAAACCAACTGCGTAGATCGATGCTCGAGATGTTGATCACTGGATTGTCTGGTTTACAGACCGCCGCCATATAGATGGAATATGGCTGCATACGACACACAAAAAAAACACTATCTTATTACTGCGAGTGCGAGCATTGTTTTTACGCCACTTTTAGCAATATTCCAGCAACATCACGGCAGGGGACACCAGAAATGGGCTTCACACATTGTACCCATGTGGGGAGTCGAACCCGGGTCTCCGTCGTGACGAGCGAATGGTTTAATCACGAGGCTGCCCTACCGCCCCTATTTTATTACTGATTGCAATGTATAAATATTGTCATGTCTGATGTCTGAGTCCCCATCATCTGTAACAGTCAATGTAACGAATGACACGTACCTTTACACCTCCTTCTGCTGCATCCGGGGTGGAATAGGTCTTCACCAACCCATGCTTGCCACAAAAGGCGACTATGCTTGTCGTAAGAGGCGACTAACGGGATCGGGTGGTCAGGCTCGCTGACTTGGTTGACACATGTCATCGGTTCCCAATTGCGCAGATCGATGCTCATGCTGTTGATCACTGGATTGTCTGGTCCAGACTCGATTGTTTACAGGCCATCGCCATATAGCTGGAATATTGCTGAGTGCGGCGTAAAACTAAACTCACACACTCTGTTTTTGTTCTTTAAAAACGCGAAACATGGGTATTGAGAAATTCAAGTATTTGATTGTAATGGCGCTTCTATATTCTCACAAGATGCACTCGTAAAATCTAAGCAATGAAAACATGATGGGCAAGCTTTATATCCACCATATTATATTATTTGTTCATTCATTTGTTTGTTTGTTTGTTTGTTTGTGTGGCATCGATCATAGGGCCCGTAAGTCTCGCGAGGCGCTACTTCCGCTTCTAAATTTCCGATGACAAGCGAATATCAAGAACCAGTTCTGGTGCCAAATTGCGCGACCGCCAAATATGACCTTACTAGACCGGACCAAGTGTACTACCATGCTTGGCTGTCACAGCCGGTGACAGTCGTAATAATTGAATCATTTGGGGACGATAAGATCGAACATTTATTATTCCTTCAAGGATTATCGGTTCCCTACTGACAACCGACAACCATGAGTCAATTCGAAAAAATATGAGTACCTTTCTTTAGCTATAATATATTTTTGACAACCAGTGCAGTTCAATCACTAAACGTGTTTCTCTTCAGTATCGCGGACAGTGTTTGTTAGAAAATATATTTCGGGAATCAATGGCATGGTTAACGTAAGATGCATTTGAGTAAACTGTATTTATTGAATTAATAAAACTATTAATTAATATACTGCTATTCATAAAACAGTCATGTGTAACCAAGTTGATGTTCTATTCATTTTTAGCCACATTGACTCTGTCATTTCCATGTTCAATTAAAGTATGTAATTTCCAAATTAAAATATATTTGTTTGTTTAATTTGTTATTTATTTTCTAAATACATTTGTTATGCTGCAGCAATATCTTCAGTAACTATTCCAAATTAAAAAACTATTTTTTACATATCAATATCTATATTTGCTAGGAACTATTTAATAGATATAATCAATGGAGACAATTTGCTTTATGCAATGTAAAATGCATGTGTATAAATACTTGAGGTACTAATATAAATACTTTGTAAACTAGTTGGTAGGCTTTACATGTAATTTTACTCATTTCCAAGTCTAAGGGACGACTGTATGCAAGTTCAGGTGACATAATGACTCAAAGATACAATAAAGAAATTGTTTGTTGCTTTGCAAATTTGACAGAAAATGCATTATAAATTTTACTTTGGTTACATGACAGGGATCTGCATGTGTCAAATTGTTTCTTTGCCATGCTGTAAATATATTGATAATGATATTGAATAAATAGCAGTTCTCATAACATTATGAAAAATATATATAAATATATGAACTTTCCCATTTATGGTGA